AGAACCCGAGTTCACTGGCACTGAAGCCCTTCAAACCTTTTCCCCCCCCCACTTAATATTAGTCTAATCTACTGAACTCTAGATGGGGCTATGCCTCAAGCCTTGAAGGACAGCTTAATTATACTCTAGTGTAAAATAGCATTTCAAGAGGACAACCCATTATATCAATGCTCTGTGATTTACAATGGCTGCCTAGTAGTTTCCAAATGAAGCATAAGGTGTTGGCTTATGTCTTATAAAAGGACATACATAGTTCATGATCTCCCTACTGAAGTGGCATTTCTCCATGTGCAATTTTAGTACAACTGTTCTTAAGCTGTCAGTCTGATGGCTTGACAGGGAAGGGTAGTAACAGGCATCTTTCACAAGTGAGTCCTCCATCTGAAATTCAATCCTACCCTTGACATGAAACCACAACAAAATTCAAACCTTCAGGGCTTGTTGCAAGATTAATCTACCATATTCTTTAAAATATAAGGCACACTTCTTTAAGTCAAGTATTTCTTCTAAAAAAGGCCTCCATTTTAAAGTTAAAAAAAAGTAAAATCACAGAGGTTGTTTCCTTGGTAATGCATCTTTACGTGACATTCTGTATTTTTCCTTCAACTGAGTATCGGAAAAACCGGGCGCATCTTAAAATGAGAAGGAATATGGAATTTTCTCAGTGCTCTTGGCAAAAAACATTATGATTTGGAATGGGAGGAAGTTTATTTCTGGCTGTTGATTTTTATTGTAGAAATGGGCCTCCCTGGACTAGTCATTGCATCTATGTGCTTTTAATATTGCATAAGGACTCGGAGGTCTGCAATAGCATGTTTCAAAAAGTCTGCAAATGGCATTTATCTCCTGGGTGTGCATCCTCAACATCCTGTCTTTGGCTTAGTTCTCCGCTTACACATCCACCCAGAAAGATGACCTGAAATGTCAGTATAGGTTTAAGAGCCACTTTAGGAGGCACCACTAGTACTTTCCCAGAGAGACGGCACCACGGATTAGCCCTTAAGGGACAACTGGGATGCACTGACTGAACGTGCATCCTGTACATACACTTCCCACCATTTACTCCAATTATATACAGAACAGCACCGATCAAAACTGCAGTGTCTAATACTAAGCACATAAACCTGAGCTATGTCCCTCTGAGGTAGAAGGAAGGAAGGGGAGGTTGCAGAAGTGCATCTTTATTTTAGTACATGCTCAGGGAATCTCCAAGGGAAAATAAAAGCTAAGAAAAAAAAGCACGCTGTAAATCATACCCACAAAAAAGATGCATGTAAAGCAAAACTGCGGTGTTCTAAGCTCTGGGAAAGCTAAAAGATATCAGCTGGGGTTTGGAAGAAGCCTGGATCATTGTCCTTGCAATGGCAGGTGATATATGGAACAGAGAAAAGCAAATGAGAATGTCAAAGTTCAGCAGCCATCCTATGGTGTAGAGCAGCATATGGCTGGTGATCTACCATGGAGGTGAGGGGTAGCTCTAATTATGCAAACAACCTCAGCCCCAGAGCTGGAGGT